GAAGCTTCTGCAAGGCAAAGGACACAGTCAACAAGACAAAAACGACAGCCCACAGAATGGGAAAGATATTCACAAACCCCACATCTGACATAGGACTTATCTCCAAAATTTACAAAAAAACTCAAGAAGCAAGTCTCCAAAACACTAAAGGATCCAATTAAAAAATGGGGTACAGAACTGAATACAGAATTCTCAATAGAGGAGTCTAAAATGGCCAAGAGACACTTGAGAAAGTGCTCAACATTCTTAGCCGTCAGGGAAATACAAATCAAAATAACTCTGAAATACCATCTTACTCCCATCAGAATGGCTAAAATCAAAAACACTAATGACAGTTTATGCTGGAGAGGATGTGGAGAAAGGGGAACACTCATCCATTGCTAATTGGAGTACAAACTTCTGCATCCACTTTGGAGATTGGTATGGAGATTTCTGAGGAAAATGGAAATCAGTCTACCACAAGATGCAGCAATTCCATTCTTAGGTATATACGCAAAAGATGTACACTCATACAATAAGGACATCTGCTCAACTATGTTCATAGCAGCATTATTCATAATAGCCAGAACCTTGAAGCAACCTAGATGTCCCTCAACTGAAGAGTAGATAGAGAAAATGTGTTACATTCACATAATGGAGTACTACTTAGGAAAAAAAATGGAATCTTGCAATTTGCAGGAAAATGGATAGCACTTGAAGAAACCATCCTGAGTGAGGTAGCCCAGTCACAAGATGACAAACATGATATGTACGCACTCATTTATGGATTTTAGACTTGGAGCTGGGGATTACCAGCCTACAATCCCACCAACAGAGAGTCTGGGAAGCAGGGAGGACCCTAAGAGAGATTTGCATGGTATCCCAGAGAAGGGGAATGGGGCAAGATCTCCTGAGTGGATTGGGAGCATGGTGAGAGGGCAGAGGGGGCTGGGAAAAGGGAGGGGGAAAGAGGAAGGGAGAGAAGGACATGGGGGAGCAGGAAGCTTGAGTTGCGGGAAGAACAGAGAACAGGATGAGAGATACCATAATAGACGGAGTCATTATAGGTTTGAGAAGATATCTGACACCAGTGAGATTTCTGAATATCTACAAGGATGACACCAACTGGCAATCTAAGCAATAGTGGAGAGGTTACCTTAAATGCCCTTCCTTGACGAGATTGGTGCCTACCTTATATGCCATCCTAGAACCTGCGTCTAGTGGCTGATGGAAGCAGAGACAGATACCCACAGCTAAACACTGAACTGAACTCCTGAAACCTAGTGACTGAGAGTGAAATGTGATGAACAAAGGACTCAAGATTGAGCTGGTGAGACCTACGGAGACAGCTGACCTGAACAAGAGGTAACTCTTGGACTCCAGACTGATGTCTGGGAGGCCAGCATGGGACTGATCCAGACCCCCTAAATGTGAGTGACAGTGAGGAGGCATAGGCAATTTATGGGTCCTTGGGTAGTAGATCAGCATTATCCTGGCATAAAAATGGACTTTGGGTGTCCATCCCTCATTGAGAGATGCTTTCTCAGTCTGGACACCTGAGGGAGGGTCTATGCTGTAGAGTGTAGTCTTCCTCTGCCAGTTGCTTGGGCCTTGTTCCAGTGGTAGCCCCCAAATGACACACAGGACATTATATTAATTATGAAGCTGTTGACTGTATGTTTGTTTCTTGCTGGCTAGCTTTGACTTAAGTATTTAACCCATGATTGGAGAAACGGGTCCAGACCTCTTACTCCTCTAGTGGTCTACATCATGCCTCTCTCTGCCTCTCTTTCCCAGAATCCTCCTTGACTCCTAGTCCCACCTATCTTGCTTCCCTATTAGCTAACAGTACTTTATTCAACAACCAATAAGAGACAGGTTTACAGAATGACATCTCCTATCACTATACCCTGCTCTGGATGAAATGATAGACTCAGGGTATGCCTCATGGAGAGCCTCACCCTGCCTGGAGAGCAGAGTGGGACTTAGTGGGGGGACTTGAGGGATTGGTGGGGTTGCAGGGGAGGAGGGGATGGAGAGGGAGCTGGAATTGACATGACAAGCAAGCTTGCTTGTAATTTAAATAAAAATATAAATAAACTAAAAAGTAGAAAAAATAAATCATGTTTAGTAGAGAACAACACAGGAGAAATAAAAGAACTATTGATCAGAGAGCAATAAATGCAATGGAAAGAAAGAAACGCCTGGCAAGGAGCGATCTTGCACACTTTTTAAAGTAGAAATTAAAAATGGAAGCATATTTAATGCAGTTTTGCTAGAGAAATTCTCACTGAGAAGTTTAGAAGTTTGACAACTGAAATGGATATATGGATATGCAAAGGATAGGAGACAGTGAGTCAGAAGGATATCTGGGAGCATATTGAGGTCCACAAAGAAACTGGCTAAGATATACTAGGTAATGATCACCAGGGGAGGAAAAGACATCAGGTCACACGCAGCATCTCAGGCCAGTGATATTTTTTTATTCCCACTTTGGCTGATGATGCCCTGGGATTGCTGATGTTAGATTTACTCAGGGGCAAAACCTACAAAGCCTGCTGGCTTCATAGGGACAATTTGAACTAGGGTAGCATGAGGTCATATGGCTATTATTTATAGGCTTCTCTAAACCTGCAGGTTTCCAGAGCACTGGAGAAAGTTCATATTCTGAATTCATCACCAATATTTCAGTCTATAACCCAGGGGAGTTCAATCGCAGAAAACTTGGGACTATACTTATATACAAAATCTTGCTACCAAGTAATATGGAAACACTTTAGCTTAGGGTACAAGCAATTTCCTGTTAGTGCATTATTCAGATAAATATTAGTATCTGAGTATGGCTTGAGATAACAGCAACTCAATTTTAGTAGCACATACAACAGAATCCCGTAATATGTCATGATATAGCAGAGCTGTGAAACCGCACAGCATGCAGTGTCAGAAGCAGATGGAAGGGTGTTCAATGTATAAGAGAGAGGCCATCTTATATTATTCTACTAGAAATCCTCATACTCCATAGAAACACGTGTGACTTCACTGTAGCAGTGGAGCAATGGAGAATCCCTCTTTCAGCCCATGACCTACTCACTCACTTGTTGAATTTAAGTAAAGAATGCAAGTATTCTAAATATGACCCTAGAACAGTGGTTTCGACCTATGGGTCATGATCCATTTGGTGGTCACCCATCATCTGATATTTCCCTGCGTATCAGATATTTACATTACGATTTGCAAAGGTAGCAAAGTTATAGTTATGAAGTGTCGACAAAAATAATTTTACAGCTGGGGGTTGCCACAACATGAAGAATTGTATTGAAGGTACAACATGAATAATGAAAATCCAGAGACAGATATTGGGGTTCAAGTTGAAGATTAGAAAAGTAAAATGGAAAGCCTCTTGAGATTTCTTACCTCTACCAATGCTCAGACCGAAAGGGCAATCCACTGAATCTCAGATTGCATCTCCAGACTGCACTGCTCCTCACCAAATCTCAGACTGCTCCTGAGACTGCACTAAACTCCTTATACTCTCTCTAGTGCTCGGAATAAAGTTGGTTTCTCTTTTAAACTGATGCACTCTTATGTATCCCAGGGTGGCCTTGAACTCACAGAGATCCGTCATCTGCCTCTGTCTCTTAACTCCTGAAATTAAAGGTGTGTGTCACCAGCTTCTATGACTGTAAATAGCTTTGCATTCTTATCTTCAGGAAAGAGACCTAAACAACCTATCACCGAAGAAGGTTAAGAGCATTAGGAAGGTTGAAAACTACTGCCTTAGAAGAAAGTCAGTTATTTGGAGGAATTTCAACATGAACAACAAAAGACAAGAAGCACCTGCCAGTGAAATAGGATAAAACAAGAGGGCTACTCAGCCATCGGGGAGAAACAGTAGTTATTTATTATGAACTCACAAATGGTCCTTGAGGCAGACATGGCACTGTGGGTTTGTCTGTGTGGGGGCATTTGTGCATGATTTCAGGTGTCTGTGGGGGCCAGAAGTGTTTGATACCCCCTGGGTCTACAGCTCTGGGGCAGCTGTGAAAAACCTGTTTTCAGTGCTGGGAATGAAACCCTGATTCTCTGCAAGAGCAAAGCGTGGTCTTAACCACAGAGCCATCTCTGCAGGCCCCAAATATATAATTTTAAATCTAGAGAGGGTAAACAAAAAGAAAGATTTGTTTAAGATTGGCTTATCTTGATTAATATAATGACTTCCTTTTTTCCACCAATTTTCCTGCAAATGTAATGATTTCATTTTTCTTTGTTCTATACATTTCCATATAATTTTATCCATTCCTGGATAAATTATTTCAATGCCTTATTATTTTAAGTAGTGCAACTATAAATATGCCTATATATAACATGCACGCAGAAAATAACATTGAATTGTCTTTGATGAGTATTCAAGAGACTCACTGCTGTGTATGAATTTAGTCAGTGTTAGTATCACCAGGTTCTGTTCCAGAAAGGCATCAAAATCAGGTGCCCTCCACCCTCCAACTTATTAAACTCATTTATACAGTTTTTAAAAAGCCTCAGAACAGTCTCAATAATTATTATAATGAATTTATCCAACATTTTCTAACCAATGGTACCAACGTTCCATTAGAGAGCATTATAAAGACAATTAAAATCAATAGAGAAATTGTCCTCTCCTTATACAAAAATACTCATTATCTGTAGCTTTAATGTGTTCAACTCCAGTTGGTATACACGACGAAAGAAAAATGAATAATAACCTAAATAGCAGCGTTGAGCATGGCAAGAAATATTATCAAATCAATGACTGCCAATAAAATGAAGATGATTATTTCAAAATGAAATTTCAATGTTTACAGTGACAAGACACCTAAAAAATAAATAAACACAATGCAAACAATACTAGAAACCAATGCAAAAAGAAAAACAAAACAAAACTCATTGAACCCCAAACACTTTATCTACAGGTCTCCCTCTTTGGGATCTACAGTCCACATTTTGTTTTTAAGCACAAAACTCATAGACACTTATTATTTTACCTTTGGAATCAGTATGAATGACATCCACAAACTTTGCGTCAGTGTAATCTAATCTGCTATCTGATGGTTTTCCAGAAAATTTTGGTCCAGCTGGATCAAGACCTGAAGTGCAAAAGAGTAACTATGCATCTAATTATGTTTTACTACTTTTGTTATATTTTACACTTGTAGTATTGGCAATTATAAATATAAGTATTTGCAATTTTGGTTTAAACCTGTCTGAGCATACCTAAAATTATTAAATTTGACAAATGACAAATGTCTTCATTATTTAAATATTATTGGCAACCTTCAAAGGTGGTCAAGAAGTAGGAGAAATATCTCAACAGAATATCACGATATTTTTATCTAAGGAGTACATTGAGTAAGCATTGTATTTAATAGTAACAGAGATCCTGTCTGTTTGAGGAGAAGGACTGATGAATACCATCTGAACCTCTCTTGAATTATTCGCCTTACTGGCCTCATCCTGTATCTGTCTATAGGTCTAAAATACATTTTAGATATCAATCCTATTCAGGTTAATGAATGGGACAAATTTACTATTTTCTTAGCATTCATCTCTCCCAAGTGTTTCCTTAAGAAAAAATGTTATAAATTCCATACAATGTGAATATTGTCTTATAGAATGAGTTCTAAACTAAAATTCTAAGATCACAACTTTCTGATAGCAAAGGATGGGGAATAAAATTTGGTTCATTAAGGAAGAGACATCCAAGTGACAGGAGGGGGAAAAAACTCATTTCCACAAGTTGTCTTTTATCCCACCTTTTATCCCACATTACTATATAAATTAACGTTACTTCAACTATTGTTCACTTCACACTCTTCTTGTCCCTATTTTTTAGCCTTCTTGAAATAATACCCCACCTCTCTCTTCCTGTAATTTTTTCTAATGTAAGAAATCTATATTTTTTGTCTTTAGTCTTTTGTAGTTGTATGGTAGCTTAGTCATAAGTAAGTAAGTAAGTAACTACATGCATTAATGTGACTAATTTCCCCTTTCCTTTCTTTCTTTAATGAGATTTTATTAATACAATGTTAGCCTTTATAAATAGTTGGAATTATAAGCATCCTAGTAATAAGGATATAAATAAATTCTTAATAAACATGACATAGACAAACGACAGAGATTTATGTGAGCACCAGTTGGTTGGTGCCTTTAACTACAGCTAAGTTCACTGTGTGAATCTGAGTGAATATGAGAATGAGCATGTCTCACACTTGAATAGCAACCCCTGATCTGTCTAGTACTCCAGTGTGAATGCTTAAAAGAATTCAAATGCAATGGTGCTTGTAAAAATGAACTATATAGCTAATATTTTTAGCTAATGAAGATTTTTTTAACTGAATGGGTCAAATTTTCCCCTTGTAGTCTTTGACATTTAGATAAAGCTACAGAACTCAACACTTGCTTTCATGTTCATCATAATCACTGTGGAAGAATTAACAATTTAGTAAATCGTAATATTTGAATATTGAGTAAGCAGTGCCTTCAGGTTTTAAATAAAACAAAATATAATGGGGAAAATGTACTAAAATAATAATTTTGCAAAAGAAAAGAAATAGTTTTACCTGTAATTCTTCCAAGTTTCCCATGAAATAGTTTTCCTACAAAACCACTAACATGAGCGCCTAAGCTCATGCCTATGAGATGAAAATTGTCAAGAGATGCCCCATGGTTCTATAATTGAAAATAAAATGCAATGATTTTAATTTGGGATAATCACAAATTATCCCTAATATATTGACATTCTGAAATTAATTATTGATTTTGACTTCATATATTTCTGGAACATAAGTAAGGGGACTTTGCAACTTTGAAAGATACAGCTTTCTTTCTTCAGCTTGCATCCTGAAACATCTGATTTCTCTCTATTCATTTCCAGTAACATCATTAAACTTTACCTGCAAATTATAAGTTTTAATGATCCATAATGTGGAGTGAGATGTATAAAATAATATTTAATTATCAAAGCTTTTAATGATCAAATAGTAATAATGGGCATGACTGGCTGCTTATTTTGTGCTAAGTACCTCAACACATGCTTTGTAATTTTTATAGTTAATATTCCTGTTTGAAGTTGTATTCATATCTATCCTATTACTTAAACTTCGCCTGGCATGTGTTAAATGCTAAAGGAAAAAGTCTCAGATGTTAAAGGCATGTGCAATGCTCCATATAAAGATGTGTTATAAAGACTGAGTGTTTGTGCCTTTGAAAATTAATACGCTAAAGTCCTAACCCTTAATGTTATGGTCTGTGAAGGGAGTGGGACATAGAGAATGTGGTGACAGTACATAATTGGGCCATTCAATAATGGGGCTAATGCCCTGATAAAGGACCCCTAAAGAAGCTCATTTGGCTCTTCCACAGGGCAAAACTCACAGACTCCCAGGAAGCTAATAGAACTTGCTGATGGTCCAGTCTACACAGTGATGTCTGAAGGCTCATAAAATGACGTTACATTTTCACCACTATTAGAGAACGAGAGGGTGGACTTTCCCAGCACAGAACAATCCTGTTCTTCAAATTCCTCAAAGCAATGTCCCCAAAGCTGAAGGAGTTATTTCGACAAACCACAAAGCTATGGCTACTTGTCTCCCAGTGCCTATAAATCCTTTGCAAGCAAAATGCTATGATTTTTTTCTTAAATTCTCTACTTAACTCAAACTTTTCACATTACAAAGTTCCTGTTTATCAGCGAGAGACAGTCATAATTTGTGAAAAAGTCAATTATTTCCTCCATGCCAATTATTTCCTCCCTCTCTCTCTTGGGTAACAACATTTTTTAAATTGTAGACTCAAGGCTAATAATGAAATTTTTTACATACTGATTAGTAAATGCCTTGTCTTGATGAAGCCTATACACAATGGCATATATATGTATTTCTATATTAACTTAATATTCATACAGCATACAATAGAATTTTGTTACTTGGAATGTATGAACAAAGACATTTGGTAGAGAGGTGAAATGATTGCTCAAAGTCACATGGACGATAGGTGACAGACTCCAGCCTAGATTCCCCATACTTCAGAAACTCCAGGTATGGAGTCCTTTATGTTATGTTCATTCAACTTAGCATAGGTTTGGAAGTTCACAACAAGTTCAGGCTTCTAAGCCAAGAACACCCAAAGATATAAAATATGACCTTTCTTTCTCTGAAAAAACTTACTATCACTACCAATTCTGAGGACAGATATGAACTACCATAAACATTGGCAAAGGAACCAAAAATAATTCAAAAAAAGAGATGAACTCTAACCAGCCTTGAATTTTGATGCATCTCAAACTCAGCAGACCTGACATAAACTGAGAGCTATATTCAGAATTGGAAGTAGACTGCTTTCCAAAGGAAAATGTTTTCCTTATATATTTACCAATTGCCATTTGACTAACCGCAAACACATTAGCCAGGTCTTAGAAAAGATGGTTGAAAAATGTAATGACATTACAGTAATGTCCACTCCCCACATAAGATCAGTAATTCACCCTAAATTCATGGTTTCAAAGACTTTTAAATTTCTATTAGTTTTAAATAAAAGGCTTTCACATTTTAAAAACATTTAAAATTATTATTTAGAATAGAACATAACTAAAGATATCATTATGTCTAAGTGGAACTTCCAAACGCTTATGGGAAAAGCATTAGTTTCATGGTGGCAAACAACAAATCATATACGGTGTAGCATGTATGCTTTAAATTTCTCAAACTTACCAAAAGAATTTGAATGCATTGACTCAACATCTCAGCAACAATTCTGGTGTTTTTAACAGCTCTAGTGTAAATCAGAGTTGTGGCACCCTGGTTCCAGTCTACAACAATGAGATTCACATCTTCTTGTTTCAAAACTACCTTGATAAACTTAGAAAGCCATTTTGGTGTGGAGCCCAGTGGTCTGTATCCATGGATAATCCAGACAGTTTTCTTTGACAGGTTGAAATGTTCATTAACGGAGTTATTAGACACAAAGAGTGGTTCTGCACAGTTTAGATTGTCCCTTGAATACATCATCAGATTTAGCCTTAGTTTTGGGAAAAACAAATCTTTTATAGAATTCATTGCATTTAATTTTGAGAATTCAAGACATGTTTTATTATTCTCTGTAAAGAAAAAAAAGTTAATCTGAGCATTAGGATAAGATTGTAGTTTTATTGGTATCTTTCTTTCTACTCATCTACACATTCTAGATGGATGAAGGCTATAAAATGAAATAACTAAAAATGTTCAATACCAGTGATTATTGTAAGATGGTTAAATAATGACTGTTTTATAGATAGCTGTTCATAGTTTTCCAGAATCGCGAATTATTGAATAAGCCTAAGTATAGAAGATTTTTATAAGCGCATAGGTTTATACTACTTCTAGAACATTAATTTGGTAATTCTATATAGTAAATAAAATTTTCATTACTTGTGAAATACTTTTAAAGCATTAGTAAGCGTCATTAGGCAATTAAAATAAAAAACTGATCACAGTAAAACAAAAGAAAAGAAAATATTATTTTAATATTGCACATCAGATATAATATTTATGATAATTCTAATTTTAAGAGGACAGATGTTTTATTGCCACAATAATTTAGAGGAAAGGAGCCAATCTAGGAGCTATAACACTTGCACAATAGTCGCAGGCTGACAATGGGTATCACCAAGTTTGGACATGTGTGAAATATGAACAGATAATCCAAACAGCTGCTTGGCTACAAGCCCTGCTAGACTTTGTCTGGTCCTAGCAGAAATAATGAGCAATTTATCAGCAAAATCCCTTTTATGTAAGTAGTCATCAGAAAAATGCTGTATCTATTGCAAGGTGTAGAATTAATAACTAATTTATTTACAGCACTCTTATTTAGAACAGAAGAAAAGAATGTCGTTTTAAGAGCAAGAGAAAGGAGCTATTGAGGCAAATTTTAAAGGTTACAAAAGAGCATCAGATAAAGAACGGGACAATCAAAACTCCAATTAAGAAAAAATACAATTGCATAATATGCCTTCAAATTATAAAATCATATCGAACATGGAAATCTCCCTCTATGGGAATACATGAAAGAAGGAGGTGTTAAAATTAAGAAGAGAATGAAGATAAAGGGTGGATGGAAATTCTGCAAATTAAAATGTGTTGCTGTTCCTTGAGGAGAGTCACTTGGTGGAAGAAGAGAGGAGTTCTGCTTCATTAACTAAGGTCATAGTTGCAGGGTATGGTTTGCAAACTCAAGAAGCTCATTGAAATGTAGAGAAAAAAATCACTGAATCAGACTCACCAGGATCTTTATGCACTGTAGTGGTTTTCCGTAGAAAATGTAAATACCCTAAAAAAAAATACCAAGACAGAAAATTCAGTTGACAAACAGAGTAATGATGACGTCAATCTTTCCTTTTGAAACAGTTCGTCAGATAGACTGAAGTGTAGCACCTGAGACTTTAAATGGAAATGTTGGCAACTAGCAGCCTTGGGCCTTTCCTCAAAGGTACTACTCACAGATGATTGTTACACTTACTGATATGGTGTGTGTGTGTGTGTGTGTGTGTGTGTGTATGTGTGTGTGTGTGTGTGTATGTGTGTGTGTGTGTGGTGCATGCACACATACTCCTGTATGCATGTATGAGAAGACCACAGCAAAGCAACAGGTATCTCCCTTTGTCACCCTCAACTTGGGACAAGCTAGCTCACTAACCCACAAGTTTGTCATTGTAATTAAAGTGTCTGTCAAGGGAACTTTAAAGATGTACTTGTCTCTGGCCATTAATGTTGGCATTACAGACAGTCACAGGTGTACCCACCTTCGTTCATGGGTACTCATTATTCTAACTCAGGTCATTTCAAAGTAAGAGCAATTTCCCCCGAGCCTGATGTTGTCATTCTTAAATAAAAATGTTAGATTCATAAAGATGAAATTCACAGAAATTCATTTAAAATATTAAGAGTGATAGTGAAAACAGATACTGATTGAACATTGAAAATCACAGAGAGTTAACAGCACAAATCATTCTTGTACTCTTGCACATCCAACTTTTACAAATAAAAAGAATGTAGGTGAGAAGGAGTATAGAAAATTAGACAAATCCTCAATTGAAGGTATCATAAAATGTCCATTTTTAATTCCCCAAATAAAAAGTATCTTAAAACCACTGAGAGATGCAGAGATGTACAGAGAGAAAGAGAGAGAGAGAGAGAGAGAGAGAGAGAGAGAGAGAGAGAGAGAGAGAGAGAGAGAGAGAGAAGGAGTTAATATGTAAGTCTAGGTAATGCTGCTCCCAAAATCCCAATGCCAGCTACTGCATAGTTCTTTGTTAGTTATTGGTCAAGGAGGTCCCAAGGATCCCAGAATAACATAGTCTTTTGCCATTTCTCTTCGATGTCCAGCAGACCTAGTTGATAAGATCTTATTGTTAAAGATACCATAGGCAGTGGCTGGAAGATACAGAGAAAATAAGCTAGTGTTATGGAAATGTCCTCCCTGCAGGCTCAATTACATAGTGGCAGGCAGCTCTGCTCAGCTGCTTGAGAAGAACCATCAACAATCTTTATCCCATTGTGAACCCTCTGAACAACAATACCAATCCACCGGGAAATACACACTCTCACAGGACTGTTATGATGGTAAATGACATGTCTCTCTGGGTGACTTTAAGGCCCAGTCCAAAAGAAGGAATCCATACCTGTAATGTTAACACAGCCAAAAACCCACAGGCAAGGAGAACTTGGGTCCTAGACGGAATCTTACTACTGTTGTTTGCATAATTGACAAGCTGCCTCTAAATATCTATATTTATAAGCTAATGCTACTCCAACCTCAAGAAACACATGAAGAGTTGAGTTGTTGTAGTCTGTGTAATTTATTACTTCCCAAGCAACAAATAATACTAGTACTACTACCAAGACAAGTCTTATAAGCATAAAAATATGATGTCAAGAAGATGATATAAAAGGCTAGAAAATAAAAGTAATCATTTACATGTAATTCTAGAAGAAGGATGGCTACTCTGGAGTATCAAGAGAGAGGTTTGGGTCAAGTGGAACAAGGTAGGGAGGAAATTGATTGCAAAAAGCTTAGGAAGTTTGGGGTATAGGAAGTATTTTACATCACAGTTGATATGATTTTTATGTATCATGTACGTTATGGTGCATATATTTTTCAAAATGTGTCCATGCATTCTGTTAAATATGTAGATTTTGCTACATTTAAGTTACACTTTGATAAAGTAAAATTTTTTTTTTTTGGTTTTTACGAGACAGGGTTTCTCTGTATTGTTTTGGAGGCTATCGGTCCAGCCCGGCCTCGAACTCACAGAGATCCGCCTGCCTCTGCCTCCCGAGTGCTGGGATTAAAGGCGTGCGCCACCACCACCCGGTTGATAAAGTAAATTTTAAAAGGATATAGAATAGATAGTAATGATCGAATTTTCCAAGTATATAAAAATAAAGCTTTTATTTGTTTATTTATTTATTCATTTAAAGCAGAGTCTCAGTTATAGCCCTAGGATGGTCTTGAACTATTCTCAGGGGTCTTACAACCTCAACTTCATAAATTCTGGAATTACAGGTATATTCCATTTCTTCAAGTCATTCTAAATATCAAATATAAACATTCACACGCATAAGCTACACACTCAGCCAACAACATAAATTCAAAAGTGCCAAACAAGCTCCTCCCAAAAATGCATACCATAAAACAAGAAAGGAGAGGATAATTTTAATCAATATTACTCAAATTTAATAAATATTAGTTCACATATTAATTAATATGCACACATACTTCAGATAGAAGTATGGCTTATTAAAGTGATAAAATCCTAACAGTGCTTATCCTATTAAAAGTAAGAAAGTACAAAGGCATCTGCTGCCATGGTGTGAATTATTTTTAACAATCATTACTAGTACAAGCCATTGCTTTTTATTGTATCACATTTAACTCTAACTTTAAAATATGGTAATAGAAACTGAAAAGTAAGTTTATTTAGAATAAGTGGTACAGGAAATGAATGGTTAAGATTATATAAGTAATAAAAATTATGAACTATCATTTTTAAAATATGCAGAAGCAGACAAATGGAAATTTCAATTGATATTTTTATAGTTACATTTATATTTTCCAAATTTCCTTTATTTTCTTCTGGAATTTTTTTCCTACCCTAACGAATATTTTTCTTTTAATGTGGTTTTGAAATTTTAGGGGGGCGAAGGAGACTTTGTTGTTTGCTGCTTTGGGTTTTTTTGTTGTGGTGGTTGTTCATTTTGACTGGCTATTCATGAAGGTTCTTTAAATCTGCTCTAGGACAAACTCAACACCCAGTTGGTCTAGGCCTAGGATTGGGCCTCATGGTAGAACTGGTGACACAAGCAGCTACAGTTAGGAGTGAGTTCTATGCTAAGTGTCTTTGTTCTTTCAGCAGCTCAAGTGAAAAGGAACACATCTAGCAATAAATTTTTAAAGTGCTTGGACTCAGTGGCATTTGATACAAAACTTTAAAGTAAGGAGAGATCATAAATTATTTTAAGCTAGTTGAAAAGGGGTGCTGGTGAGGAACATGCACTGAATCTTTTAAAAATAGAAGAAAGGAGGATACAGGGGAAGAATTAGAGGAAGAGGAGAAGACCACTGGAAACAAAATAGCAAAACACCAGGAAAAAGAGAAGAAATAGAAATATATACTCCCATAAAATAAATACTGAAGGGCAAAAGTATTTTATGTAAGAGTAGAGAAGATTTGATTAAGCATGAAGCTAAGTCATGGTCCAAGTGTATACAGGATTAATTCTACTAAAACTCTCATGTGCAGTGCAATTCTAAGTTATGGACTTAGCGCTATAAGGAGGAGGGGTAATTTATGCAAAAGACAAATGAATGCCATACTGCAGATAATGAGGCCTGATAAATGTGATTTTTGTGTTATATGTAATAATGTCAAACCCATGACACTGAACACTTAAGATGAATAAAAAGAAGTAGTGGAGTATAAAGATCAAATCGGGAATTATTATCTGTATCCTCATTTACCACTTATTTATGGTGATTACAATCAAGATCCCTTTGTTATTTTACACTGCACAGTACATTTTTGTTAGGTGATATCCACCTGATATGTGACAGTTCATTCTTCCCATCTTGCTGTACTGTTGTATCTGTTGGAAGATCCCTCCACCATCATCCATTATTTCCCAGTGCCTCGTAACCATCCCTCCCTTTTCATCCCCTTTGAGACAAATTTTTCCTGCTTATTTCACCCTAAGTGGATGGTTTTTCTTGCCAGAGAACAGAAGGAGGAGACAGAAGTGCTCCCTCATCTCCTATTGCAATCTTTAATTTCAAACTCATTTTCACTTAGCAGCAGCTGAGAACGGATCATCTGCCTCGCGGCTTTCAGGGTTGTATGAGCTGAGAATGCGGGGAGCCCTTCACTGTGTAATAGAAAGCCATTGAACAATACCCACATCCATAAAAGTAGCCAAGAGTTTTCCCTGATCCTCCCCTCAAATTCTACTTCCACTCAAATAGTCTGTAAGAAAAAAAAAACTATCTTTTATCAGCTCAGACTCATGACTGCTTAACAATCACTGCGTGTAAGCTTTGCCTTATTCTTATTTAATATTTGCCCTCCAGTCAGTAAGTGAAGAAAGTGAGGTTTTACAAGATCAAATGTCTAAAGGTCGCACAAAGGGGAATATGTGAGGAAACGGAGCAGAGAGAGAGAGAGAGAGATGGACATGATGCAGCTACAGGACCCATCTATAAAAATCTCAAAAAGATGTCGGGTGGTGGTGGCGCTCGCCTTTAATCCCAGCACTCGGGAGGCAGAGGCAGGCATATCGCTGTGAGTTCGAGGCTGGGCTGGACTGACAGCCTCGAAAACAATACAGAGAAACCCTGTCTCGTAAAAACCAAAAAAAAAATCTCAAAAAGAAAGAATAAACACATACATATGCATATATATGTATATATATTTAGATACATACATCTGTGTTGTATATATGAAAACATATTCATGATGGTTAAATAATTGTCCAATTTCATGATGTTTGGGTGGCAGTTAGTCATACATTGTAGTAATATACTACAACTGAATGGAGATTTATAATGCTTCTAGTGACTGGCTGCTTAACGGAACTGTGCTTGGACAGAGGACACATTATAGATGGAAACACTTCCTCAAGTTATCTGTGAAGACACTTCTGCTCATCCCAAAGTGCAGAATTAAACATTTCTGTGGATCACTGTAAACATTAAGTTATTTATCATGGAAAGATTGTGGCCTCTGGGCTTCTGCCATACTATTCTCACTGTAATGTACACAGTGCCTCTTGGGAGTGCAAGAATGTTATGGGTGCTTTATTCATATGCAGAATGGCAGTCCTCAATGAGTGAGACAGTAGATATAGAAGGGGGGATATAAAAGGAGAAATTATTTAAGTATAGTATGTATGCAATATTAAAAAATTTAAATTCACAGAAACCATTTGCATTTTAACCAAATTCCTATTTAATCGATACAGTATAGGCCAAGGTCTATAAGTTTATAAAAAAATGTCTCCAAATCTCTGTTTCAGTTTTCTCAGCTATGACAGAAAAGGAGAGTTGAATAAACCTATCTTCAATATGTCTCCCACAGGACTAAAAGATAGGAATTCACAAACTATGTCATGAAAGTCAAATCTGGCCAATAATCTAAGAATACCTTCATATTTTTAAAATAATTTATTTATTTGTATTTCACGGGCATTGGTGTTTTGCCTGCATGTGTGTCTGTGTGGTGGTATCAGATCCCTTAGAATAGGAGCAAAAGGTATGAGCGGCCATGTAGGTGCTGGGAATTGAACCCAGGTCCCCTGGAAGATCAGCCTCGACTCTTAACTAATGAACCATCTTATTAGCCTCAATGTTCATAGTTTTACATGAATGAAAAAGATAAACAGTATGATATTTAAAAGTTATAACTAATTCATAAATTGAATAAAGTTTTGTTATCAGACCTGCATTGGTCTGTTTTCAAGAATCTAAAGCTGCCCTCAAACCCAGACAGCAGAGCAGAAACTCACAACACTGACTCTATGATCCACAAAAACTTCCCGTATTTATTATCCAGCCCCTTACAGAAGTATTTTCCTGTCCTTACTACAACAACAGCCAAAACAACAAAAAAGGTGCATTTAGCAGCTAGCAATTGCAATAAGAATATAAGCACATATATTCTGAATACATATGTAGATAAACATCTTTATCTACCTTCCTCTTTGCCTTGTTATAAATACTTTTTAAATGTTGTACTCATTTCAGTTTCCTAGGATGTTTTTACTTTTGAAGAGTGCAGACCTCATCAATAATGTTCAGTATTGACAAGAGAGACCAACTATACACAACATAGAACAGAATCTCCAGTGAAGAAAAGCAAACTGTGCACAAGCAGAATGAAGGATGACTAAAAGGAACAGCCTATTAAAAATCCAAAACCATCCTGAGTGAGGTAACCCAGTCACAAAAAGACAAACATGTTATGTACTCACTCATATATGGATTTTTAGACATGGATCAGGATAGTGCCAGTCTGCACTTCCACTGACAGAGTCTGGGAAACAGGAAAATAACCTAAGAGATATGCATGGTACCCAAGAGAAGAGGAATGAGGCAAGATCCTCTGAACAGATGGGGAACACGGCGAGAGGTGAGGGTGAGTGGGAGCTGGGAAGAAGAGAGGGGGAGAAGAGGAAGAGAGAGTAGGTCATGGGGGAACAGGAAGTTTGAGTGGGGGGTAAGACAGGGGGAAGAGGGAATCATAGGTTAGAAGACAGATCAGGCACCAGTGTGACCTCTAGTGATCTAGAGGGATGACACCTATTGGCAAGCAAAGCAATAGTGGAGAGACCACCTCGAATGCCCATTCCTGATAATGAACTTGATGTCTATAACCATCCTGAAGCCTTCATCCAGTGACTGATGGAAGCAGAGGCAAACACCCACAGTTAAACACTGAACTGAACCCAAGGAACCCAGTGACAGAAGAGAGGAGAGGTGAGCAAATTGGCAAAGAATGGGCTGGCAAAACCAGCAGAGACAGCTGATGTGAACAGGGGAGAGCTCTTGGGCCCCAGACCAACAGCTGGGAGGCCATCATGGGACTGATCCAGACCCCCTGAATGTGAGAGTCAGTGAGGAGGCCTGGGCAACCTTTGGGGCCCTGGGCAGTAGATCAGTGTTTATCTCTGGCATACAAGCGGCCTTCGTGTGTCCATAACACAAAGAGGGATGCTCTCTCAGGCTGGACTCTTAGGGAAGTGCCTGGACCCTACCCTGAGTGAAATGACAGACTCTGGATATCCCCTATGTGGAAGGATATGGTGATAGGGTGGGAGGCTGGGGGGGAACGGTGAGGGGGTGCAGGAGGAGGGGAGGGAGAGGGAACTGGGATTGACATGTAAAACAAGCTATTTAAAATTTTAAAAAATCCAGCAAAATCTCCTATCGATCAGAGATTTTTTAAGGAAAGAAACAAGTCTACATCTGTTAAAAATACATCTTTCAAATTATAAAAACTTTCCATTTTGATATTTCCTGTTTGCTGTTAATATCTAAAAGTCCTGCTATTTTATTTTAGTAATCAGCATAAATGAGCTAAACTTTTGACAAAAACAAAATATATTTAACAATTATAGCTATTTTTTCCTTTTGGAAACATAGAAAACTGACTAGTTCTAGTCAAAACAACAATTTCTGAAAGTCGACACTAAAGTGTACAAACTATGTTATCAATATAACTATAAATTATAATATTAGAGGATAACTAAGTCTGACAGCATAGACTTCAAATTTCTCCAGCTTTCATGTCAAGATGATGATAACATGTATCACAAACTTAAAATGTATTTAGAAAAGATAACCTACCTCGTAAAATTTAAAAAATAAACTATGTACTATTGCCTAGTTCTCAAATACTATTAATAGTTCAAATATTCAACTGAAAAATAAAAGCAAATATCAATTTCTACTTGGTATATTATGGTTTTTAGAGTTAAGAATCACGAGTTTATTGAAGATATTTAAGACATCAAGAAAATAATCTTTCACAAAATTCCACCAGAGGGTTAATATTCATTTCAACTTATGAATTTGCTACTATTTTTATTTGCAGAAAGTAGAATGACTTGTTCAAGCATAACCAACTAGTCATTCTTCTTCATGCTAGAACAAGATGTTCACCCATAAAGTAGAAAGCTACATTACAAACTTCAGTGGGCTTTACTCCCATTACCAACCAGCAGAAGAATTACAGTTCTCGACTACAACCATTAGATAGTTTGGGACTTGTGTTATGTGAAACAAGAAAAAGAAAAGTTCGAATGTATTAATAATTTTGCTTTGCGCCTGATAAGTTACCTAGTCAACAATTCTCTTCAAACATAAGATTTTCAAAGAAATGAAATGAAAGCAAGATATATAGTAAGTCATGATTTTCAAACCTTGAACTAATTCCTTACTGCTTAATCACTTTTTATCTTGAATGTTCCTACTTATTTCCTCTTTGAGTATGAGTTCTCTAGCTGCTAATCTGAGTGATCAATAGAGCACAGAGCTCCAGTTTAGCAAACACACGCACATGTGTATAAGTGCACACACATACCCTCTTGATAGCAGTCTAGTTAAGTATAAACACCATAATCAGCCAATTAGAATGGCATAGCAGAATCCGAACCATATTAATTATTTTACAATAAATTAACGATAAGCGATTAATAAACATCTTACCAAATCTTATCCAACACATCAGACACAGAAAAATGTATATTCTCATTTGGAATCGGAAACTGTAAAAGAAACACTGGGATTCACCAAAAGTAAACTCTGTAATTCATTAAGGTTCTTGTTCGATCCGATGGTCTCTGCTGGGCGAGCTTTCCTGTAAAAATGCCTCTTGCTCCTCCCCCAGTCTAGAAAAGGTGAGTGAGTCTGCTGTCTCCTGCTGGTTTGTGTTAGGAGATCATTTTAAGCCATAGACTCTGTAATAACTTACAAATGTTTAGCTACACAAGTAGGATTTAAGGGAATGGGAAACCTAATTGTAGATGTCTTTACTCCTTAACCTCAGGATTTCAAAAGTGGCATGGAATGATATGTTTTTGGAAAGTATAAAAAAAATTGTTACTAGAAATGCCAGAAATGGAGTCAGGGAAAGTTGTGTTTTATCATCATTTTGATTCTTCACAGAGCTAAAAACCAGTAATGGAATCCACACCCATGAAGCTGTCCAGCTTTTTATGTGTCTGTCATTATGTATCTAAAACAAAGTGGCTATTTTAAAATGTTAGATTCTAGCTTGCCTTTTGGAGCTAGAATTTGAAAAGGAAGACTATTTTGTGTTGTAATAATAAAAAAAGCAGCTCATGAGAGCATGAGAGAAAAGACTCCAGGCAACAGTGAGTTCAAGCAGAAGGGTTTATTATTAGTGGAATGGGGAAGAGGGACACCGGATTCTGGGGACAAAAGAGTGTGTGTGAGGAGAGGGGAGAGAAGAAGGAGAGAGAGGAAGAGGGGGAGGGGAGAGAGAAAGAGAGGGACAGAGTGGAGAGGAAAGGAGAGAGGGAGGGAAGGAGGCAAAGGGAGAGGAACAGACAGAGCAAGGGAGAGAAAAAGAGAGAGAGGAGGATGGGAGGTGGACAGGGCTCTTTTAAAAGGGAACATAGTGACTGTGCACAGGTGGTGCTCTTAGTGGCTACAGCTGAGGGCATACCCTATCAGAACCGCAAAGACAGGCCAGTACAGATGCCTGAATACTAACATTTTTGTTTTGAATATGACAAACAAACGTGTAAAAATTATTACTGGTTTTCTGTTCACATGTTTGTCCAGTTTTCCCCTTATTTTCTTTCCCAGAAACAATGTTGAGGAGGCAAGAATAAACAATAGCTGGTCTACATACACAGATCACGACCTCATACATGTATTGGAAAATCTTCAATAATACGGTAAAAATGGTCTGCTAGCAGGTATTAATCACAAATTGCCTCCTGGTTAGGTGTGGGATCGTGTCAGCTTCCCTGGTTAGGTTGGGATTCCATCTAGCTTAAACCTGTGCAGGTCCTTAGCATGCTACTACAGTCAGAGTGATTTCTTATGTTTGCCTGTCCTAAGGTGTACATATAACGTTGTTTGCCTTAGTCATCCACCATTTTTGGCTCGTCCAATTCTTCCTCTTCTCCCTCCTGGATCACTGAGCCTCAAGAGGAGGGGCTTTTGAAGACATTCCATTTAACACTAACTAACTGCTGTCAAGTCCTTACTTTTTCTTGCAATAGATGGGAATTAACACAGAGACCCTCAACTGAGCAATGTCCAGAGAGTAAGGACTTGACAGCAATTGATGCTAACTGGGAGACTGGGTGGAGCACTGATCTATAAGAAACTTCAAAAGTCCTTTGCTTTTAAAATTTTCATTCAGGGCTCAAATAAAGGAACTACAAGTAAGTGAAGGAACTTAAAATCTGAGGGGAAAAAGGAATAGACTCACACACAATCGCTCCTCTGCATTCCTTTATTCTTCTCTTTCCCTCTTATTCTCCTTATCTCCTCCCCAGTTCTTGAAGATACATGTGTATTCTTTGTACAATACAATGTGAGGTTTGAGTTTCTGAGGGTCAACAAGGCAGATAAGATTTACACACAGAGCAATAAACTAAAACGTCTAGGAGAAGCTTTTACCATCAGTTGCTTAGGGTTGTAGGTCAAAGAGAGGTTCTAAGTTTAATTTGCACAAGAAACAAAACCCGGAACCTTCTAGTGCTCTGGTCTCAGTGGTGGCACAGGCCTTCAAGAAAGTCTGTTTTTCTCTGAAGGTGAGCAAATGAGCTGATTACCTTTGTCTTTATCTTCTCAGGGGAAATAGGAGGGAGCAGTAAATCTCCGAGCTAAAATCTCGAGTTAATAAAACAATAAGTCTTAGAATCTTTTAGTGCGGGGCGATTTAGGTTATCACTTCTCTTCCTGCCAGTGAGGAAAAGCTAGGGCATACTTATTTTTCCTATCCATCTAGGCAGCTCTGAATCAGCAACTTTGTGCCTGTAGTAATTCTATGTCCTTGGATATCTGGGAATGTCTTAGATGGGATGCTTTTGCCTGGGCCCGAAACACTGACCAAATGCCTGTCAATAAGGATAATTGCAAGAAGGCAGATCTCTGCAATTGCAATGGAGAGGGGAACAAAAACCTGGTAGTAGGAAACAGGTCTCACACATAGGTAAGGAATGTAATCAATAATGGAGATTATAGTAAGGTGACCTGTTAATTGAGAACAGGTTTTACACATAGTAATCAGTAAACTCCAAATGCATGGGGAAATTTGTTCCCAGTAAGTGATCAGATAGTGCTTTAAACTGTGAGAAGTAAATCCCACGCTTGTTGCAGAAAGGAATAAGATACGGGACAGATGAATCTACAACAAGAAACAGCCACTTCATTCACAAGGTTATAACATGAAATACAACTTTTGTACTGGTTTCATCAATCAGGAGAATCCTTAATTCTTCTGAGATATCTCATGAGATGATGGCTGTATAATTACTGTGTGATCTTTCAGCTTGTAGCAGATAACAATATGTCATTCAGAATCAATCGGGTGCAAAATAAAAGTAGTATGTTTCCCGTTAGGTCCATGAGCTATCTATCCAATCTTGAATTCCTTGGCCATGTTAGCAATGTCAGACATGACTCCCATTTTATCAGGTTGACCTTCAATCAATCAAAAAGTGATTGGTTACTCCTGTAACATTTGTGCCACTGTTGTAGCAGGATATCTTGGGGGCAGTTCACTGTTATGGGTCCCAGGGTTTGTAGTTGGATAATATTTATGATTACCTTTTTCCTACGACATTCTACAGAGTAAACTCTAGCACCATGAATGCTATTCAGGATGGGTGAAGCTTCTAGCTGGGCACAAGTTCAATTTCTCTGTGCCTGATAACCTACATGCTGTCTTCAGCGATAGGATTTTACCACCAGGCTATGGAGAGCAGCCAATAGCCTTGGCAAAAGCCCGAGAGTATGGATGATAGGTAGAGATCCCTTTGGTCAATGATTTTTCAAATGACCTGCAGCATTGGTTGCCTCTCCCATGCTCCTTCCTTCACTCTGCTCTTTCCCTCTGCCCCATTTCCTACTCCTATTCTGGCTTCTCCTTTATCGCTTGAGAACTCTACATTCTATTTCCCTTTCCTTGGGATATCCTCTCTTTGCCTCTGGCCCCTTACTAGGTATCTGACTCTGAATATTCAGATTGTAGCATACAATTGATATCTTGAAAGCTAGTTATCTACATATAAAAGAAAACACACAATATAAAGTATTTGCTTTGGGTATTTTTGTTGTTTTTATTTGTGTGTGAGTGTGTGTGTGACCTCACTCAGGATGATTGCTTCTAGTCCTATTTAGCTGGAAATTTCCTGATTTTCATATTAACAATTAAAGAGTATTCCATTTCACAAATGTGTCACATACTTTGGGTGTATTCTGAGGTGTACTACAGCTGTATCTGGAGGCAGACCTTCTCAAGGAAAGGCCACACCGATTTCCATAGTGGCTGAACCAGTTTGGACTCCCATGAGCAATGAATAAATGTACCTCTTTACCTACATCTCTGCCAGTGTGTTCTGTCATTTGTCTAATTGACGTTGGCCCTTTTACTGTGGTAAGATGAAATCTCCAAGCAGTTTTAATTTGCATTTCCCTCGTGGCTAAGGACGCTGAACGTTTCTTGTAAGAGTTTCTCAACCATTTCCTTCTCTTTAGAAAAGAATTATCTGATCAATCAACCAAGCCGAAGCATGTCTCCTGAATGCAAAATGAATTCCCACCACTCCACTAACTAAAGACCAAGTCATGTTCTCATAACTGAATGATCTTTCCAGGAAGATTTTAGGGTCCTCAGTAGACATTTTCTAATGACTCTTTTGATACTCAGTGTTTTCTCGAGTTCAGTGGCCTTTCAGAGACCACAGACTATTTTCAGTGATCTGTCTTGGGATCATGTAAGCAGTAAATATTTAGTTCTCTCTGTTACCAATATCTAAGCATGTAGACATTTATTTACATTTTACAATAACAGCATTACCGTGTTACTCCTTAAAGACAAATTAACTTTTTACATTACCCTGAGCTTGTGCATAGTGAAGTTAGTCAATCTTAAATCATCCACCTAGTCATTTTATTTCAAATATTATTATAAAGAACCTAAAATCAATAATCTTCCTGGAAGACAGAGACAGAGGCACTATTCCAAACAAGCTGCTGGCCAAGCCCTGGGGATCAGGTACAGCATCTTCAGCCAGATGGGGGCGGGGCTGCGGGGTAGTGAGCCGTTCCCTCCGGGGAGGGGTGTGTGTGGGCGTGGTCCCCCCGCCCCGCCCACAGCGCGCACCGGTCCCTCGCGGGGCCGCGCAGGAAAGCAGAGCGAGGGGGCGGGGCCTCGGCATCTCCATCCCCGGGCTGAGGACCGCAGGGATGTTCCCGGCTCAGGAGGAGGCCGACAGGACCGTGTTTGTGGGCAATTTAGAGGCCCGAGTACGGGAAGAGATTCTTTACGAGCTGTTCCTTCAGGTACCGTCCGCGGGGGAGGCCGGGCGGCGGCTCTGGAGCCCCGGGACCCCGCCCCGCCGGAGCTCGGGTCTCCCCTCCTTCACTTGGGCACGCAAAGTGCGTGGCCGGGGACGAGTGGCTTGAATGTCCCTTCCTCTGCAGCCCCGGGTGGGCAGCGACCTCCTACCCCTCACCCCCAGCCTGCCAGCCCCTAGGGAGGGCTCCCGGAGCCTCTGCGGGCCCTGGCTGTGCTGCTGCTGCTGCGGGAACACAAAACAACCCCGTCTCTGTCTCCCTGGGATAGTAAGCACCCTTGTGTCCCACCCGAATATGGTACCTGTCCCTGGCCATTACCCTTTCTGTCAAGCCTTTTGGTGGGGAAAGCAGTGTGTTCTAGAATCATGCTAGCGATTACTGAAACGCTGGGCAGTCAGTGCACCGTGACTAACTATGGGGTCCCCTGGTCCATGCCACTGTGTTTCATATGAAGGACCTTCCGGACCTTTCTGGGAACTGGCAAACTCACTTGCCCAGAGAAGGGTGTCTTCATCTCCTCATCTAGTTGGTTAATTGACTCAGAATTATGGAGCAAATCGAAAGTGCCGCCGAGAAGAGACCCTGAAAGGGGAGGTCAAAACTGTTTTCCCAAGATTTATGCAAATCTGCCCAACAGACGAGTAAATAGTTTGCAAAAAATAGTTGACTGTGGGAGCCCTGAGGTCTACAGTGTGACAGAATCAGTCGGTAGTTGAGTCTTCTTAGTATGTGGTTTCCTATGATGTCAAATGCGAGTAATGGGCGTCTAAATTGTAATACGATTGCCAGAGATAGTTCAATAAAACAGCTACAGGCAGTGCTGTTGGCCGCTGCTAATAGGACAGTTGTTATTAGTAATGATACCTATTATTACCAATAGAATAAGGGGAAATTCTCAGGGCCACAATTACAGAGGTGCGTTTCAAGAGTCAAGTTTAGGTACCAGTAGTGAAAGGATTATTTTTTTAATAATATTTAAAGGACTTACTTTGTCTCTAAACTTAAGTGAAGCCCTCCTTTGTTACCCTATAGAAGGGCTCGCCTCCTAAATACTAAAATTTTTATTACTCAAAGATTATATATTTTCCCTCTCAAAACATCATTATCTATTTAGTAACCCAATATGGATTGAAATGACTGTTCAGAAAAGGAGTAATTTTGGCTCCTCCAGAAAGCTTCCCTCTAGGACCTCCAAGGGGGACAGTGAGGAATGATGGTTTCTGGGATTGCAAATCCTCAAACACCTGAGCTATGTAGATGGTAAGAACTACTACGTCTGCATCAGTTGTGTGCATAGAAAAGGCCATATATATAGCATCTCCTTATTTCTTTTATGATTTCCTTTTCCTGATTAATTAAAATTTAAATCCCGTTGAATGGAGCAAGCAGTAAGTCTATGTTTTCATCTTGCCCAAGGAGAATTTGCTAATGCAAAGGATCATTTGAATGACTTAACATCAGCAGCACAAGCAAAATCCCATTTCAGCTGCCCTGAAAAGTTCTCATTCTGAATTTTAAAAAAAAGTTATGTAGCTGTTGATTACAGAAGTCGATTGAATTTTACCTTTAAATGCTACAGCAGAACTGGGAGTGTAGCTCAGTGATCAGCACTTGCCTCACATTCATAAGATCCTAGGCTCAATCACCAGCACTCAGGAAATAAGAAGTTTGGGCTTGTGTTGATGAGTAAATCTTGTCTTTGTATGCTACTGTGTACTGTAATGTTAGTAGAGGAAAACAAAAACTAGAAAACAGAATAAGGCCTTTATTTCCATATGAACTTTTTATAATCTATTACAAATTTCTCAATATCCTTTTTTAAATTCAAATATATTTTTGTCCTTTTAGTCGAGAAATATTAGAGTAGAAATTCAGAGTAGGGGGAAAAAAGTGATTGTGGTTTCAAATGTATTGAGTGAGAAGTTCCACAACACAGCATCTCAGGAAGCTGTTTTCACAGAAGAGGCAGCAATGGGGAAATGGTTTTGCTAACTTCCTCCTATTCAAAGAAAGGGAACATAAGCTAGTCCCTGGGCAAAATATTCTGAGAAGAAAGACAGACATCCAAGGTGTAGCACCATTGTAAGAATGGCAGTACTTTCCTATGGATGAAAAGCAAATATGTATGTGCTTATCCAATTCTGCAGAGAAAAAAAATCATTAAAATATACAGCTCTAAGTTAGTTCCAGTCTTTGTGAATATATCCTGCAGTCACAATCATGAAAGTAGTTAATTGGTGTAATTTTTTTTCCTCGGATGTGATTGACAGTGTTCTCTACTATATGACTTTGTTTCTTTGCTTTGTTTTACCATTACAGGTTTTTCTAGTCACATAGTCTGAAACTTACAGTTCGTGGTACTTTATGCTGTTTGAATAATTCACCACAGAATAATATTTCTAGTTATTACTTTTTAAATTGTTCACTCTTATGAATAGTTTACATATTCTACCAGATCTTAAAAATATTAAAATAAATTTCCTTTGAGAATATTTATGAAGCAGTGTTACTAGATCAAAATGCATAATAGATTTAGTTTCTCTTAGAAACACTGTGTAGTATACATAGGCATTTGTGCATGTGTGTGTGTGTGTGTGTGTGTGTGTGTGTACATGCATTCATGTTCATGAATGTGTATAGTGAGGACCAACGCATACCTATGGAGGCAAGAGAACGCTTATACATTAGTCCTTGATTTTCCCTTGTTTAAGGCATTCTTTTCTGTGTGTACCTTCTAGCTTCTGGCAGTTTTCATTCTGCTGATTCAAACTCAAGTCCTGACACTTATGTGGCAGCACATTTACACACACACACACACACACACACACACACACACACACACACACACCCTGAGCCATCTCCCTAGACCTTTCACAGTTTCTTAGCAGCTGTTGGTTTGACAGCAACCAACTCAACCAACATGATTTTCCTCATTACAATTTACTTTTCTGTTAAATACTGCTAACATGTACTGAGAGGTAGTACTATTTTTAATCTGAGATTCAAATATTCTCCAAGTTGATTTTTAGAGCCTAAAGTAAAGATAATCTTTCTTCCTATAAGTTCCTTCTCCATAAATGTTCTTGATAAGCTGGAAAGGTTGAGTAGCTACATTGTTTATTGGGAAGATGCATTATTTGTGGAGCTATTTATGACTGTTCTTTATTTTAGTTAACTGGAATCTATTTCATTTATCTCAATGTAAAAACAAAATCTTTGGATTTATGAGAAAATAATTTTAGCTTCTTACAGGCCGGACCACTAACCAAAGTGACTCTTTGCAAAGACAGAGATGGAAAGCCGAAGTCCTTTGGCTTTGTCTGTTTCAAGCATCCTGAATCTGTGTCTTATGCCATAGCTTTGCTGAATGGAATTCGTTTGTATGGAAGACCAATTAATGTGCAGTATCGGTTTGGTAAGTTCTCTCACTGGTCAGTCTTCAAAGTGTGCTTTGTTGGTCCTGCGCTCAGGGGCTTATGCATTTTGTTTTCTATATAGTGTAAGATAGTGGTTCTCAAACTTCCTAATGCTGTGAATTTTGAATACAGTTTCTTATGCTGTGGTGACCCCCAAGCATAAAATTATTTCATTACTACTTCATAACTATAATTCTGATACTGCTATGAATTGTAGTGGGAATATCTGATAGGTGACCTCCCAATGGGTCTTGACCCACAGGTTGAGAATCACTGATGTAGGGCAATAAGAAGTGTTTTGTCATCACTATTAATTTTTTCAGTATCTGGTAAGTTCTGTCACCCATCAGTCTTCAAAATGTGCTCTCTTGTTGGTCCTGTTCTCAGGGGCTTTTGTTTTCTTTATAGTATAGGACAAGAAAATGTCTCTGCCATCACTGTTGTTGTTTTGGGGGACTTACATATCTAATGTTGAATAAATAATTAATTGATATTGCCTACAATATTACCAAGCCAAACTTTTATGTTTTATATTAAAACTTTTAAAATTCTATTTCTGAACCAGCCAGAAAATGCTTATAAAGGTTACTAGCAACTTGAAAATCTACATGAATCAAAAACAAATAAGTCTAAACTTTATATAGCAATTATGTTTACCTTTTGACATTGCTCAAGTACCTACTATCTCGAAGAAAGTCCTTCTCTATTAGACTTTCCAGGGAAACCATTCTATGAACATTGAGAGGGCCTGAATTTAAAACTTACAAGACATGTGTTACACACATCATGAACTAGTCATCTATAAAGGAGAAGCACAGAGAATGTTTGCAGGCTGAGAAAGGACTGATAGAGGCGTCTGAGTACCATGGGGCCTCCCCAGGTCGGTGCTCAGTAATTGATGTATTAATATTATTGATCTACTAAGGTCAACAGTAACAAAAATCATATCTTCTTGAAAAGGAAAAGTTGTCTCTGCCATTCTTTCTGCCCCCACCCCCTTCCTGCCAATTGATGAAATAAGCCTGGGTGTGTTATGTTCCAACACATTCTGTGTAAAGTTGAATTGGCTTTTGTCCATAATGTTTAGGGAGTTCATGTCTTATATTCTAGAAGCAAATGATACCGAATAGTTTACAGTAGTGTGCAATGAAATAACATTGTATATCTCACATAGTCCCATGCCTGTGCAGTCTTCATAGCTATTCATGGCTTTTGGACACAGGTCAGTTTTCACCCAGTCATTTGTAATGCTATATAAAAATGTGTAAATGTGACTCTGGATATGTTATATGTGTGTATGTCTTAACTAGTGCAAAAAAAGGCAAGGTATTATATTTATGTTTGTTTGGTTTTTATTAAATGGGGTCTCATTATATACATCCCAGGCTAACCTGAAACTCTAGATCTGCCTGCCTCAGTCTCTGAAATGATGAACTATAGGCCAGAACTACCAGATTTGTGGTTTGGGATAAATTTATCACTTAATGTTATAATGCTCAAACTCCAAGTGATTATGTCATGAAATAATGTTTCTGTTCTGTTTTATTCTCTTTAATTCTGTCTCTTTAAAGGTAGTTCCCGCTCTTCTGAACCAGCTAGCCACAGTTTTGAGAGCTGTGTGAAGATAAATTCACACAGCTTCAGGTAATCAAATGCATGCTCTTGAATAAATATGGACATTCTTATCTTAACTTGTCAGACATCAGCAAGTATATCAAAACAGCAGTCTATGCATGTAAAGTTCTAGCTAAGTTGTATAGGTATCTTTAAAACTGAAGTGATACAAATTCCATATTGCTTTTCTATGTATAGAAAAGTGATGTATTCTTAGTGACTGCAAGGTGTTTGCTTTGTTATGCTCATATCAGAGTTATTTCTGTTTTTAAAATAAAACATGATCTAAAGTGTTTCTTCTAGAAAGACAAATTTGTTTCTCCACATTGCAGTTTCCATATTTCATAACTAAGTAATTAATGTAATATCATGCCATCACATAGTCAATGAAATGACATGTTATTTGTGTGTGTTCAAAGCATTTAATGTTAAAAGCTACCATGGAACCCTTGTCTTCTACTTACATAAGGTTGTCATTATTTTTTTCATGAGAAAATGGCATTTGCTCCTTGGAACTTTAAGGTGTCCTTTCTTCTCTTCTTTTGCAAAGGAATGACGAGATGGTGGGCAGATCTTCGTTTCCCATGCAATTTTTCCCAGTTACGAATACTACTTTACCTCAAGAATATTTTTTCTTTCAGAAAATGGTACGTGTGAAATACATTTGTTTTAGTATACTGTTTACAAACATAAGAACCAAAACACCCTTCTTGACATGTGGCGTTGAAATCTGAACCCGGCATCGATGCAGACTATGCCACGGTTCATGCTCAGACAGGGTCCTGAGGAATTCTCTGTGTAAGACCTCAGTGACTCCCCTGTGCTCAGTGGCAACAGGCAGGTAATAGTGGTGACAGAAGTCACCAGGTAACCATTGAATACCTCATTCCCTAGAAAGTGACCATTGTTAGAGATATTCTTAGCAGGGACAATTTTCTCTCAGTATGTAATTTTCGTATGTGTGGTCATCAATCACATTTAAGCATTTTTGTTCTAAAAAGCCACTTGAAAGTTCTCAGTTACTAGAAGGAACTCCCATGTTAAGCTTGGCTGTAGCCTAATCATGGCATTTGATTTAGAATATTTCCCTCACAACTCTTTGTTTTCTAAGTGACATAATGTGAGTCCCAGGAATTACTTAGCAAATCCAAAACTATAGGCTTGTTGACAATAGGTATAGGACTAACTTTGTTGTTCCCCCTCCCACCACCAGAGGAAAATGATGCTTTCACTTCTAGAGAAAACTTTACTAAATTATAGCTACATCTATATCAGCAAGGAAGCCTCCCCTGACACTAAAGTCCCCCAGGGTCTTTTCTCTGTATTTGGTCTAGCTGGTCTCTAGTGGAAAAGTGTTTCACGCTACCCTGTCCTCTGATTAGAACAGCCAGAAATTTCAGCTAACTTGTTAAAACCCAACAGGTGTTTCTCTATCTAAAAAAGTAACAACCGTGTCTTTTCACAAGGTGGGAGCTCTCAGCTTCATTTGGGCCTGGCAAGCTTTTCGTTTTCATTAACATTTAAAGTCAGTACCTGAATCACATCACATATAGGGAAGTTTCTGTATATTTTTCAAGCAAATGGAAGATGGTAGTTATAAATTTTTCTTTTATAAAGTTTATGTAACTCTCCACAAAATCAAATAACTTCAAAAAACCCAACAAGTGTTTCTCTATCTAAAAAAGTAACAACCGTGTCTTTTCAGAAGGTGGGAGCTCTCAGCTTCATTAGGGCCTGGGAAGCTTTTCGTTTTCATTAACATTTAAAATCAGTACCTGAATCACATCAAATATAGGGAAGTTTCTGTATATACTTCAAGCAAATGGAAGGTAGTAGTTATAAATTTTTCTTTTATAAATTTTATGTAACTCTCCATAAAATCAAATAACTTCAATGATGACTTAGCTTCCAAGTAGGATAAACTGTGAGTATTGGAGAAGATTCCCACTGAAAATACAATCAAATTATCTCCCTGGGGATGTATCTTGGGGATATAGTGCCTGCATTGCAAGAACAAGGTCCTGGGCTCAGTATTCCAGCTCTGAAAAAAATTCTCTTAAATGGAAACAGGTGATAAGTGACTAGTCTAGATGTGTGTTGGGATAAATAAATACACTATTTTATCGGTTTGTTTTTCCTTTTATATTGTGTTTATGGACTACCTATGTGTTTTTTGCATAATTTTTCTGCTAAGTACTGCTAAACAATGTGATAATAAATTATGTGACGCTGGCAATCTTTGTGCCTCATGTTACCCAGATGAAGCAATGCCCATAACCCCTTGTCCAACACAGTCACTGTGGTATGCCCAGGTCGGCTGGCTCACCTATGACTGTCTGCAAGTGCCTGCGAGTTGTTAACGTTCTTTTTGCAGTTTGAGTGTGTGTTCACTCATAGTCTCTTCTCTTCACAGCACTGGCACACGTACAGTCCAATGCTGCAGCCTCCATTCTATGACATGACAGCTTCACTTCCCAACAGTGCATCTGGGTCTTGCTCCTTAAACCATGCTCCAGACCTCGAGGCTGGATCCAGCTCCTATGAATGGACTCATCAGCAACCAAGTGACCCTGACCTTTATCACAGGAATAAAAGAAAGAGGCAAAGACAGGCCAGTGACAGTGACAGTAGCTCAGAGGACAAGAGAGGAAATGAAGGTAGCCAAAAATGCCAGAAATGTAAAAGGAAGAAGAAATTCTAATGACGCTTATCTGCACTGCTCTCAATTCTCTCTCTAAAAAGACCTGTTGTACCAAATCACCCATTTCTTAACCACCTTGTCTTTTAAAAAAAATATGAAATGTGACTCTGTGATCTGCTCTACAGTTTTTACCCTGAATGATAATAGCCTTTAAACCATACTATAATGTACTCCTTTTGTATTGGCAAGGTTATTTTTGGCCCATTGTCAAGAGAATACACTTTACATCATCTTATTTTTAGAGTTGAGGACGAAGTCTCACCAAACTCACTAAACCCTTGAGGGTTCAGCACCCTGCTCTCCTGAGAGTCTCACAGGAGTCTTTCAAGCACAAGTGGGCTGGCCTCAGGGGTTCATCTGCAGGTTCCTGGGAGAACTGATGGGAATATTTAAAGACAGTGAGTTCTAACAAGCATGCAGTGAGGAGGCTTCCGTTCCTTGTATAACTAACACTTTAGTTTTTATGTCTAAATATGGTACCTCTGAACATCATGAGCAAGGTTGATGTCACGTGACCAGGACTGTGCTATCAAAGGAAAGAAAAATGTCATGTGCTCAGTACCATTTGGCCAGTGGAAACCCTGTGTGATTATCCCCTTTTTTATGATTGTGTTTGACACAACTATCTCTTGACATCTCGTTTATTGTTTATGATGATAAAAGTCAGTTGATGGTGTTAGCATCCACCGTCTATTCAGCCACCAAGGGTGGAACATATGTAGCAAATGTGTGATTTGCCATGATGAGCAAGTATACAGAATGATGTTGTATCATCATATATTTAATGCCTATTCCAAATCTATATTTTTAATTTACTTATTGTAGAAGATAAATGGACTATAAGCAAAATTCATGGTGTATGACAATTTTATAGCGCAGCATAAACCAAAATTATGAAAACCGTATATTTGTAAAAGCTAACTGAAAGAATCGTGCAAAGCCAGTTGGATTTATCTGCTCAGTTCAATAGGAAAAACCACACATGGATGTTACTTTCTCATGTTGTTAATGTTTTAATAAGTGTTATTTATTTAAAAGAATAAAGATACACGGTTATAACCAGACAAATAGCGGAGTTTCACTCTTGGTGATTAGTATACAAGATAGAGGCAGTTACAACAAATTCAAGCCTATTTCCATTTGATCGATATGAAAATCTAAATTCTGCTGCATGGAACTTTAACCGGTACTTACATTCTTAAATATAAATGTGACATTCTTAAATATATATGTGAAAGCATTATTTTCTTTTAAATTCCTAATTTGGCAATTTGGAATCATGGCCAAGATAAAATTTATTCCTTTATAATTAGATAGTAACATCTTTAAACACATTAATATTGTCTTCAATTTTCCTCTAGATGTGTTATTTACCATGGAGGTAAATTAGGTCAGCATGATTGGCATGTTAGCAGAGATGTGCATAAGTCTTAGCAACTAAGACTGACATGTGTAAGAGAGTCAGTTTGACTGGGACATATCCCCATAACTCTGCCATCAGACACAGAAAATTAACTCAGTGTCAATTCTCAGCTAGTCAGCCATTCAGCTGATCAGAATTCTAGGGAAGTTACTTTCACTGTGGTGTTTTTCTTTGTTAAACATTATAAAACTTCCCTTAAAGTGCTAATATTTGCTAAAGCCCCCAAATTTTAAGTTGTCAATTTTCCAAATGCTATGTATGTGGATGAAGAATTGTTAGTATAATTGGTTTCACGGGGCTTTCTTTTTCAATTTTAATACTCCAACCTCAAAATCTACTTCAAATGGGAGAAGAAATTGGTAACCTAAAAATAGAATGAGACACTCTACACATTCTCAATTCAATAATTTATTTAGCTAGTTTCTAATGTAGCAGACAGTAGCATAACAAGGAAAAGTGTCACTACAAAATGGTGGCAAACACACCCTCAAGTCTGTAGAAAAGGCCCATTGTACTACGGGTAAGCTGTTTTGACAAAGGACACCTACAAAATTTTATCATTAAGTGCAATTATAAGCAACATATTTGGAACATTATGAAATACTGTTGTAATTGATTTTTGTTATTGTCTATGACTTAAAAGTGGTGAAAGCTGGGCTGGAAAGATGCTCAACCATTAAAGGCTAGGCTCCCAACCAAAAATATAAAAATAGTGAAGGTTGTTACACCTTATTTGGCACTGTTCAGGTAAAAAATATATGCAAATATGTCCTCGGTTTCTTTACTGCATGGTTAAAGAATTCTCTCTTGACAGTATTTCTAATGTTGTACCTAGGATTCCAACAATATTTCTTCTTTCTCTATTAAACAAACTAGCCAGGGTGTCTCATTAACAATACAAACTTTATATTTTCCTATGCAGTTTAAATTTTCCCCAAAGATTTCTTCTTTGCTCAGTTTTCGCCAAAGTCCTGATAATGATCAGTTTTTAAAATTTTTCCATACTGTCTTGCTTCAGTCACTTACTTTAGTTCCTGGTCATGCCCCGTTACACCTAAATATTTTTGATGCCAAACCCATGTCAAAATGAAAATAGGCTCTTATACTTCTACTTGAAATGTAGAAATGGCACAATTTGTTCAATTTCATGACTGCTTAAATATATTAAGCGTAAGCATTCTGCTTGTGGTGGACATGGCTGAGTGAGATGGGGTTTAAATAGCTGCTCTGGTGGATTGCTTGTGTGGTTCCGGTTCCTGCCTATCCCTAGGAAGAAAACAGCTGGAGGTTCACTGTGTAGTCCCAAGAAAAGGAGCTGGCAGGGCATATACCCTTGCTTCTACACGTGTGAGTAAAGCATCAGAAATGAGAGTCTTGTTCATTTACTTATTGCATATTTAAAAAGACAATTGATATCGTAGACTTTATTCGGGTGAAAAAATTCCTCAAAATTAAACTATTTTTGAAATTATATTTTACTACAGATAGCTCAAAGAACATCTTTTTTCAAATATTTTTTTTTGGTTTTGGAAATTTTCACACATGCACAAATATTATCATGTCTTCTCTTGCTACCTTCCTCTACACTTATTTAGGAAGCTTAGTAGAATACTGTTTATTTGAACAATATTGATAAGAGTCATGAGGTTATTAGAGATACAATGTTTTGGGGTTTACTTCTATACAATAAGAAATAACAATAATCACAGGAGTATACACTAGTCATAACTGTATTCTAACCTTGCCTTGAAGTCAGAAGAAATACATTGTTTACTGTACTGCTTGCCACCAAGAACCCTGGGAATTATTATAGAAAGTTCTCACTATTCCATTGTTTAACGTGTACTCATGCACACACACACACACACACACACACACATACACACACACAATGCCTTTAAAAAGCAACAGTAAAAACACTTTCAGCCCTTTAAAAGTTCAGTGAATATATCACCAGAGTTCTTTAGAAAAGTACACTGTGGTTCTCTGACAAATTCTATCAAATGCGGCACAATTACTTTCGGGAACAATGCATCAAAGGAATTGTCTCAGTTATCTTTCGATGTGGTATGAAAGGGGGAGGAAGGAAGCTGTGTCTGGTTGGCTGTTCTGGGGGTAGAAGCTGGAGGTGGTACCGGGCCAACAGAAGCATAGACATGAGATGATTTCCCATGAAAGTAATTGCCTTTAAATGCTCCCCTTGTGTGTTTCTGTACCCACCACTTGACCTTTGCAGATAATAGTTTTAGGAGTCTTTCATGTAGAACAAGTAGTGCCCACTGGCATTTATACTTGTTGCAAATATACTTTTCTTGCCCTTGTTTGCTTCCCATGTGTCCCTCCCTTTGAACTGGAGACTTTGCAATTCGTGTCCATTGCCATTTCAATCTGTATAGGTGGTAGCCTTGCAAGACATTCTTAGTACATGTTTTCATTATTAATGTAAATAACTTTCTTCAGCTTTTCCTCTGGTATTTTGTTTCATCTTCACAATAAATATGCAAAATACTTAGAATTAATGTTATCATGAGATAGAAGTTAAAGAATCTCTACTGCTTTCTTCTCTAAATTGTTAGTTAAAATAACCTACCTACCACAAAGTAGATTCTTGTTTGTGTTTTCTGTGCTTTTTATTCTCACACACAGAACATCTGGCTTTATAATAATACTACATTATTTTAATTACTCTATTCATAATTTAACAGACAATTTCATAAAATTATATCTTTGCAACTTCTTAAAACAAAACAATTACATTTACTAAAATTAAAATGTGTGTTTATGCTTGTTCTATTGTTGTTGTGTGAAGTATTTAAATTCAGTAGCCACTTATCATTCATATTCTTTTTAAAAAGCCTTCAAAAATAATTACTTTGAAGTCTCAATTTTACTCTTAATTCATTTTCCAAGTTTTTAAACATGAGGTAAAATATCTTCAGAACTACTAGAAGGCTAGGCAACTTCCTTCATAGCTGCTGTCTTATAACAACATAATTTAAACTTTTTCCAGTATGATTAGTTTTAAGTACATGTTAAAGATGAAAAGGATAAAGCAGAATCAATACTTATGAAAATTCACCTGCATATATTATTAAAGGACAATGAACAAGCAAAGTTGCTCTTTATTCTTCTTTGCAACCCAGATGTCTTTATTCCTTTGACTAAATCCCAGGGGAAGAATTAAAGTAGATTGTAAGGACAAGAACCTACCATTGCAAACTGGTTTCATTCCCTTCTCCAGTTTTCAAGACAGACTCAGGACCGACCTGACACATTGCTCCTCTGTTCTTTCATCATTGTCTACACAGACACTTGGAAATGCCCTCTGCTGAGCACTTAGATACCCTCACCTCCCACCATTCTTCAATGGATGAGATTTCAACAAACAGGCAAAGATGCTTACTATGAGTTTGAAGCCCAGTGTCCATGAAAATGACATGTTCTCTGCTGTGCTAAGTGTTGGATTACCCGTGCTCGATTTAGGACTTAGATGTTCCATCTTTCATGTGATACTTGGATCCCACTTTATCCTTTCCTTTCCCTTTTAATTTTTTCTGTTCTCTTTTCTGTAGTATTGGCACATAATACTTTAAAATGACCAAAATGTCTCACAGTTCTGGAGTGTCTACAACGACACTGGAGAAGTGCTTCACTATGGAAAGAGTCACTGTGGAACTGTGGTATTCAGAAACCTGGAAATGTCACACTGGAGTATTCATTACAGGATATCTCAGTCAAGAATGGAAATACTAAAAACTGTCAAAGAGAGAGGAGTCGAGGTGATGTAACTCTTATGGGTGGGCTTGTAACACTTGTGTCTTCAGTAAATATTACATAAAAATTACAGAACTTAATCGTGTAGGAGAGATTACTGAACCACACAGGAGAATGACCTTTTTCTCTAGATGATTCAGTACATAGACAACACAAACAATGGCTTGCACTGGTAAGTTAGCTGAGGAATATTTCTAGAGATGAACACATTAGAGTCAATGGGAGTTTTTAGGACTTGTATGGACCAAATGCTCACATTCCTCCAAATATGTATGATAAGATCAAATCCCCAAATTTTGGATATGGTGGTTTGTTGAAATGAATAATCATCAAGGTAGAGCCTTCATGAGCATCTTTAGCCTTCTTGAGCTATTTCTTCTCCTGTCCCTTCACCAAGTGGGGACACAAGAGTGCATCAAGAAGGAAGTAGGCCTTCACTGGATCCCAGGTCTTTCTCCACCGGGATCCCAAACTTCCCATACTTCAGAATTGTGGAAAGAGGATATTTACTGTTGAATACATTCAAACCGTGACAATTTGTTATAGCAGGCTTAGCTGCCTTGGATAAAGTCAAAACAATGCTATAACAATAAATAAGAAGTAGCCAGACTAAAATAAATGTCTCCCCACATATGGAAACAATAAAAGTTCACAAAGATCTTAAATTCCAGCTTCAAAGATCTAGAAGATGAAATTTTAAAGGGTCTTCTAGATTGCAAACTATAACTTTAGATCATAAGCAAATGTCCATATTTCACTGGACACTAAAATGTTTCTATTGCCACCACCAGAGAAAGCAGAGTATAGAATTGGGTGGATTCACCCCTAGAAATAATGTTCATACATGCACTAAAATAATTCTCACTG